TAATTTATTTTTAAAAGCATCGAGTGCATATTTACACGTACCTTCCTGTTGAGATGGACACAGATGTCGGCTCGCATGTCCTTGGGACAAATGGACAAGACCTGGAGAAGAGAGTTTAGAAAAAATCAAAACGAATTAAATCAAATTAAATGAACTTTATATTTAGGGTGAAACGTTCGCAGCAGAAGAGTAAATCAGGTACAAACAGTTTGAGGTGGTGACTGGATGTGAACACGTCACGTCAACATCTCACACGTGACCTTGTGACCTCTCACCTTCTCCGTGTCGATGCCTTTGGACATGGACCAGGTGGAGACGATGTAGTCCATCACCCGCTCGCTCAGGCCCTTGGGGACCTGGTAGAGCTTCAGGAAGTCCCTGACGTTGTTGAGCATCTCGTGGTAGCGGTTGGTGTTGGCGTACATCTGCTGGAAGATGGTGGTCACGTTTCCAAAGATGGTGGCATAGAGCAGCGCTACGGAGAAAGACGGGGGGGGAATATGTTTGACTTGTTTTCAACGAGGTCCATGAATCATTCTCTGAACTTTGAAAATGTTGGAAAAACAAAGAATGTTGAGGAGAGCGAGAGAGAGAGATTCCTGGAGCTGCATCAAACTTTAATGAGTTCCTCTCTGACTCCGGTTTCATAGTCATCCATCCAGTAGTTTGTGCGTAACCATGGAAACCAAACGAGCAAAGAGACGCAGATGAAAACTCCAAGAAGGAAAAGAAGATAAAGAAGAGAGCACGTTTACAGCCACAGAGAAGGTTCTTGGTTTGAATCCCAGCTCGTCCCGGGGTCTTTCTGTGTGGAGTTCATTAAAGATTTAAATTACGCATTAGAAGTATAAATAATAAATGGATGTGTTGTAAAGGCAGAAACTATTGGATGAGGAGGAAGACGTTGTAATTTTAAAAAGTGGATAAAACCAGTAGTTGTGACGTGTCCTGTCAGGTGACAGACTGAAGCGACCACGGGTTTCACTGCATCGGAGCAAACTTAAAGCCACCGAGCGTCGTCAGCCTCCTCTTTCCCCTGCCGCTGCTTCTGTTTCCATAGAGACCTCACTCAAAATAGTTCTCCCTCTTTTAACCCCCAACCGCCTCCTCCTCCTCCTCCTCCTCCTCCTGCTGCTGCCAGCCAATAAATATGACAAAAGAAAGCGGAGAAGAAAAAGCAAGTTTAAATGGGATGTGATGATGGTACACAAGCGGCGGCACAATCAGTAAGTGCAGGGAGAAAGGAAGCGGACGGACAGACAGCGGCAGAGAGCGACTGCGTTTTTGGAGATAAAGTGTTTACGAGAAAGAAAAACCAAAAAGAAAAAGAAGCAGGAAGACACAGACGCTGTTTTGTTTTTTTTAATGCTCAGAGCGAACGTGTCCCACAGAAGAGTAAAAATGAGAGATAGAAAATAAGAGTAAAGCAGAATTCGGAGACACAAAGAGGAAAGAGTGTGTTTCTTTAACAGGTTGTCAGCGCTGAGATAAACACTGGTTCTCTTCCAGGACCTGTCAGCTGGAACTGAAACTCAGAGACACGTCTCCCACCTGCACCAAGCACCAGGCTGCTAATTGGACGACTGGACGGCCAATGTCTCCTGAGCGCTGGAGGTTTAACCTGCAAACCAGCAGCCGAGGACGTGAAGAGGTTCATTTAAACTCTGTTTGAACTCAGACACCTGAAATACGAACTACAAACTACTTTTATTTACAGAGGTCGACAAAGTCGGGGAATACGAGGGGGCGTTCGGAGGTCGACACACTGCCTCAGCGTGACGAGCAACTAAACAAGACCAGTCAACACAAAGTGAATCCACAACCAAAACAACGACACAAGAATAAAATCAACACAAAGAGTTTGTCTTGAACCGATTATTATTTTTAATGGTGTGAAGCTGCTCTGATTATAGAACCTGAGAGAGTTAACGACAGGAAAAACAAAAATAACGCATCTGTGCACGATCATCCGAGCACGAATACTCGATCTGATCCGTGTGAGCTGCATGAAGTCACTGGATCCTCACTCCACAAACTGCTTCGGCCGTTAAAGAGCACTTTCCTGGGTAGTCAGGCAACAGATCGTCGTCGTCGTCGTCATCTCACAACTTTATTTGACATCTCATCTGTCCCCCCTGGTTCTATGTATTTAAATCTGTCTCTGTCCTCCTGCCCCTGGCGTCCACAGTGAGATGGGGACGTATTGGGAGGAGGATGGTGAGGATGAGGAGCAGATGAAGAGCTTAATCTCCTCATATTTATCAGCTGACGGAGCACCCGGAGGGACGGAGGAGCAGACGCTGTCGGAGTGACGTTGATTAACCGGAGAGAAAGTTTGTCTCCAAATTGACTGTGACACCGAAAAGGAAAATACATCAGAACCAAATGATGATGTTCTGGTTTGAACTGATCTGATGAATCGTTTTCCCGCGTCGCTGCTCTGCAGACTCCGAACTGTCGGACTGTCCGGAGAGCGTCTGCAGGAAGTCCGGAGATTTTCGGTTCAGGGGCTCAGTGCAGTTCGGAGATGATTTCTGTGTTTGACAGAGCGAGACTGGAGCCGGCTGAGGAGAAATCTACAGGAGGTTTGTGGGATGGAGCCTGAACGAGCTCCGGTTCCTTTACACACCGAATGTGAAATGTTCCTGCATGTGAATGTTTCAGGTGAAAAGTGACAGGGATGTTTCTCGCTGCTGGTCGGAGGGACTGGAGGTTATTTCTGGGACTCTGACAGGAAACTGCAAGTGTTGTTGTGGTGTTGTTGTGGTGTTGTCCACCACAACAACACCAGAGTTTCTCTGTTCAGATGTTCTTAGTTTCAACCTGAATTGAAACTAATAGTTTTACACTTATTTCCACGTCTGCAAGCAATTTGGTAAAAATCTGATTCCACCAGATGTGGGATCTGCTGCTCTTTTATAAAACACAGGGTTGTGTTTACTCTGTCAACAGTCGAAATATATCTGGAAGCGATGATTCTCCCTCAGCTCACTTTTCTTTATGAGATCGTCAAAGAGAGACGGAGCCGGATGATGAAATATTTCTACGAGAGGTAAAAACAGCAAATGTCACTCGGCTGGGGTCAAACTGAGAATTTCTGTGTGTGTGACAATGAAAAAAAATGTTTGTCTGTGTGTTTGTGAGAGATCAGGAGAGATCAGAGGCCGCGTACCTCATGTGTATTTTTTTCTCTCTTGTGGCTTTGGGACGAGGAGCTCAGGACGATTTGTCAGAGTGAATGAGTGTGAGCGACAGAAATCTGTCAGTCCAGCAGGACGACGCAGACACAGTGTCACCGCCCGGAGCCCCGAGAACATTCATCACAACACATCTACATGAGACGACAACCAGCGCACACACACACACACACACACAGACACACACAGACACACACACACACACACACACACACACACAGATGTGAAGACACAGGCACACACACACTTTCACAAACATAACATATATCATAAATCTAAGTCTGAATTTATCAACATTTCAAATAAAAAGATTGGTTTTCATCACGATGGAGGTGAGAGCCTTCATCCTGACCGTGTGATCTGAAGTTCTGATTCGATCGAAGCGTCCCGTCCCGATTGTTTTCACCGGTGATACACAAACACAAACAAAAACCAGCAACACAAGCCGCACGGAATCAGAACTTTCGGAAGAAGCCACCTCCCTCACGAACCATCGTGCTCAGTCCACTTGCTGCTCAGCGAGCCAGGGCGGCGTCCGCAGGCTGCGTCTCGACACATTACACACGGACGGGACGCCGCGCTTGGCCGGACAAACACCCAGAGAAGCAGTCGGCTGCATCAGACCCACAAACCCCCTGAAAAAAAAAAAAAAAAGAAAAAGCTGCGGTATAAATGTGTTTTGACAAGCGGTGATTGTGCATCAAGCGTTCTCCGGCTGAGTCAAACATTCAGGCTGATTGTCTCCAAACTAATATTGACTGAAAAATCTGCAGAGGCATCCTGGCGTCAGTCAGAGCCCGGCCCGCGTCTGGCCACAACAATCGTTTCTGTAATTGTGAATTTGGGTAAATAAGATTGTTTTGTTTTTTTTCTCACAGTTTTCTCCAATATGCCGTTGTTTACTTCTCATCAGGGGAACTGAATAGACCACTTTATGCCGTGTCAAAACCATAATGGGTTTCAGAGAGACAGGGTGGGGGGGTGGCAGGTGGGGGGGGGAGGGTGTCTGAACCCAGATCAGTGTAAAGTGATATCAGACCGAAGGTTTAACATCTTGGAAGATTATCAGGAGAAGAAGTTTAAGAAGCAACAGCTGAGAGACAAATTCAATTTATAAAAATAATGAGGGTTCATTGTGGAGAAGAAGGAGGAGACAACAAAACAAGATGAATAGATGAAGACCAAGGAGAGGAAGAAGAAAGAGAAGGAGGACAAAGACAAATAACGGAAGATATGAAGAAGAGGAACAATGAGAGGAAGTACAAGAAGAGAAAGAAGAGAAAGAAGAAGGAGAAGACGAAGGTGAAGAAGAGGACTAGGACGAATAGAGGAAGACGAGAAGGAGGAGAGGATTATCTTTTCAGTTATTCTCCTGTTTCACTGAATAAATTCCTCGGGAATAAAAGCACAGCCACAAACAATAGTTATCTGCTGCTCGTGTGTCTTTCATCTGGGGTGTTGCAGTTTCACTAATGGGGCCGAATTAAAACGCGGCACAAATAAGACGCCTCTGAGGTTCCACCGCCGAAGGTAACAAGGCCGTCGGGGGCCGAGCGGGCTCCCGGGGCCCCTGGGGGCTCGGGCCTCGGCAGGAGTAATGAAGTCATGGAGGAGCACTCGCATCGAACCGCAGGCGCCTGGTAAACAGAAGATGTGTCTCTGTGAGCGAGGCAGCGACGGGAGCGGATTCTAACCTGTGAGCCGACGCTGGAGTTATCTCACAATGCAGCTACGTCCTTTTCAGAAAGTTTGTTTTCTCATGTTTCAATTAAAGCACTAAAATCCAGATTTAGTGACGTGGCGTTCGAGCTTAATCATATTTTCCCCAAATTACCAATCGTCAGAATCAATAATTCTTTATTGATCCCTCGCTCCAACCAAGGATGCAGAAAAAATAGAAACATAAAATAGTATTAATTCAGTCAGTAGAGCCGAGGCCCAGCGGTCTCCTTATGAAACCACTTTTAAATTCACTAGAAGCAGATTTTTATGTGGATCTGCACCGAAGATAAATTTCACACATAAATAACAGATATCTGATTTCTTTCACAAAGTATTCTGAGAAATCAACGTAATGAAAAACTCCCAAGCCTCACAAAGGATCCAAAGCTGCACCTCATGGATTCTCTCCTGACCCACTTCCCACAAGTCCACTAATATTTACGGGTAATTAAATAGCTGAGAGAAATAGAAATAATTAAAATCCAGGAATCGTGGTCCAGAGCTTCACTCTCAGTCTCTGAACCTCGGCCGCAGGAATCTGGAGATTCTGCCGTCA